AGCTCTGGGAAAGAAACTGTCCCGGAGTCGCTTTAATACCCTCAGACCAGTTTTTAGGGGTTCATTCAATCAACAGAGAAGGATTTCAGGTGTGTTATCGATTAGTTCCTCTTCTCCGGTGTACATTTCTAACTGAACGTTTGTTTTCCTGCAGGATTACCCCAAGAACCGACACCCGGGATGGAGTCGAGGGTCGGTGGCCTACCATGCAGGTGAGGCTTTGTCTGCTTCATTCCCTCTTTTCTCTAATTCTCATTCAGTCTCTTGGGTTTCTGAGAAGGAAGTTGTTTTATTTGTGCTCCTGGAATTCCCCCGCCCCGTAGTCTCGTTCCAGTGAAATGCATGAATCGGTTATACTTCCTCTAAAGCCGCCTTTAGATGCAAACATCACAGGGCGCCGACTCAGCTGGATGTTAAGGTGCCGAACACAAACAGAGATAAAAGCAGACGGTGACAGCATCAGGAGTCTCTCTATTCTCTCTGTCGGAGTTTGGTTCTCTCTCAAAGTGATGAACCAATGAAAGAAGACGGAGTTTAGTCAAAGTTATCTCTATCTCCCTGCGCTCCCACACACAGCCTCGGTTGTTTGCGACGACAGGCCCGTGAACATTATCTGCGCAGGCATCTGCACAAAACCCCCACAGCTGCCTCTCCAGGCCTCAGCACCCCTCGCTATCAGCGCTAAGAGATTAGCTATCAAACGCTGCTGCCGTGATACGAGAGTAGCGGCAGCAGCAGCAGCTAGGTAGGTGGCTGTTACTACTCCGTGCAAAGCTACTGTGGGCAGCTCGCTCTTTATCTGGTAATCCAATGTCACAGCCAAGATCTCGTTAGTCCTTATCTGACCGAAGCAGTTATGAGCTAGCTGCCTTTTATCTGCTTTATTTTGCTCCCGAAGCATCCCATTGTTGACGTTTCTCACAGCCGCCGCCGCTGCTCTCACTCCGAATGATTGACCAGAACACGCCATAAATGTCACTTTCTGTCTTGCTTTTCCACTGGGAAATGTGTATGATTTTATTTTTAGGGGGGGAATGTTTATGCGCTTTCTTCCATTTGACCTCCAAATCAGCTATCAAAACACATTTTCTTGTTCACTCCGCACATTCCATTCATGTTTCGAGTTAGTGTTTATAGTCCTAAATCCCCGTATCCCTTTGCAGATTCCATTTATACTTAGGATACATTAATGATAATAATAACAGTTGATGCTGCGCGTCCTGCCGGGCTCTGCGGACGATGCCTCATTGCTGAGTGACAGACGAGGCCAGTCATTCACAGAGGCTCACCATGCCAGCCCCAGAGGTCTTGCGCTGCGGTCCGTCTGGTTTGGCTGCTGTGCTTCGGACACCACAGAAATGTGCACGCCCCAGCAGAGCTCCCATTAATCTTATTTGTTAGAGACTAAAATGATGTATGTGGTTTTCCACGCTGTGCATGTGAGGTTTGCCTTCCCATGCTTGGGTTAAGGTGTAGGCTCTGATCCAGCTCCTCAAAATCAACAGTCAGGGCCTCTTCTTCATGTCTCTCCACGCATCCGATATTTTCACCGAACAGCTCGGGAACCTCAAGAATTGCACGCAGACGCGCTTTTGGCAGCGCGACTCAAAACTTAATGTAAACGCAGTATTATATACACTAGGTCATATAACCGCAGCAGAATTGCTTAAATAAGGACTGACTTTAGCTTTGTTACCTTGGTTTTCCTGCCCGGCGCGAGCCAAGAAAGCTGTAAAGAGGTGTTTCTATGACACGTGGTACCTCTGTTTATTAACTTTTATGGTTAGTTTTTGCATTTAATCTCAGTATCTGAAAGGGCAAACGTCTGCCAGCGTATTCTTGGCAGGTCTCGGCTTCATATAGACTCATTGTTATATTTTTATCGCCGGGCTTCGGGTGAATGTCGTTAACTTTCCAGAAAACAGTAGCGCAGTAGATGGATTTTCAGTAATTTCATACAGCCTGGAGGCTAATGCATAAATTGCATAATCACTCAGGGCAGCATTCTTCCTTTTATTTATACTTTGCGCGTACAGTTTGACTCCTGAGTTCTATTTCAGTCTCAATGATTTATGGTGCGTTGTATTGGGCACGCGACCAGTGTTGACCTGGATCACATGCGATGTGTATTATTGACTTTCGAGGTTATTATTTTAGTCCAGATATATTCCAGTTATATACACAAACGCCTTCCAACCATATCGCTGCTCCTTTGTATAGCTTGTATAAGTTGAGAGTTCTTTGGCCGGCGCTGGTGTTACCGCGAGTGTTTGTGTTGGGAGCCGGCCCAGTGCGGACCTCCATCCTGTGCGTTGGCTCCGCAAGTTAATGGGCCATGGGGCGCTGTGGGCCCCTGTGGGTCCTATCAGGAGCAACCAGCCATCCAACCAGTTAGTGCTCCTCAGCAAGCCTCATTAACCCTTTCACCCCCCCCTGCAAACCCGCCATCAGTGACTCCCACGTGCTATGACTCAACACCCGCAGATGAAGGTTGCGTCCCGCCGCCGCCGCCATCGTCCACCCCTCACCACCAGATAACAGGGCTCAGTCGAACTTGTGGTATCAGTGACAGGGTCTAATCTGATCCCAGCTCAGGTTCTGCAAAAACAATTGTCCAATAGCAACATGTTATGTAGGAGGGATAGTATCGCCTTCTTACCTAATGGGGCAAAATGGGTTTGAATGACGAAGCCTCCATGACACTCAGAGGCACAAAGAGGGCCTTGTCAACACACTTTATCTCAATCAAAGCTGTGCATGTGGATTTCACCACATGTGGGAATTTATTCGCTGTAATTTTCACCACCGACGTTCTGACGAAGGAGCGACCGGTACGGGTTTTCAGCACCGATGCCGATTGATGGTAGTCGAGAAAGGCTTGTTACCGATATTTGGATGCGATATATATATTAAATGTAATGTTTTAATATGATGTGATAGCAGAGATAACGAGGCTTCTTCATTAATAAAAGTGACAGTAACTGAATATGTAAAACAGAAACAGGACTGATGAAGTGATCTCCTCTGTTTGTGTGGGATCGACTGAGATCAACCAGTTTGTCTCCTGCAGTTACGTCTTTTATTAATCTGTCACTGGTCTATTCATTTTATTACCCACTAAAGTCTATATCTGAAAGCATTATTAGTTAATGTTTTCCAGACTCTGTTTCAGTTTAATCAAGGGCTGCCTGTCAAACTTTTTTTTCTGAAATCCGATTTGTTTGTGAGTTCCTTCACGTTTCCAGTTCAATACGACTTGTATGTGATCTGCTGTGTGAACTTCATACGACCCAAAAGTGTCCCGCATGCGCAGAAGAGGACACGACGACGTCACACGCAGCGAGCGTGCTCAGTGTTTATGGAAGTAAACATGGATGGTAACGGTGGAGCGTATCTGCCACTCCCCCACCGCCACCGATGGAGGAAACAGAAGTGTGAGCGCTAACTAAACTAGCATCAGCAGCCAAGTACTGCCTGTGTGTTCTGGACACTTCCACCCCATCAGAGCGCTGCCCCGGGGTGGACGTGGCCGGAACGTGCACAAGTGCACCGATCAAAGGTGTGAAATCCAACGATGTGTAGTGTTCTAATAATACACTAGTTATTATAACAACTATGAACAATAATGAACAACTAATGAGCCTTCCAGCATCAAGCCCTCCTTGTATCTGGACCTCCGACAGCCTTGCTATCCGACATAGAAGAAGGTTTTACACTTAGTGTTGGATTGTCGAGTCTTGACTGTACTTTGCTGGTTGGGTTTCTCTGTTTCTTTCTCTGTGCACGTAAAAGATCTGCAAACTTGCAAAGCTCCAAGTTCACACCAAATGGAGTTATTCAGAGAGAACACTGCTCCTCACTGGCCTGAAGCACCTCGTTTACAGTCCAGGTATATTGTTTATCATATATCACCAGCTTAACACTGCAAACGGACTCTATCGTAAGTTCTTAGCAACATGTGCAAACGTACGTGCGTGGAATCATGTAAGAGTTTAAATATTTAGCTTTAATTTTTCATGTTTTAGGAGTCTGTGAAGTCATTGTTCCCTGGGCAGGGAAGCCCAGTCTTTTCCAGACAAACTCTCATGTTACGAGAAAGCCTGCTTTCCTGTTCCCAGCTGGTCTCGGTCCTGGGCCAGGTTCTGCTAACTGCTCCGGAGCCACAGAACTGCCCTCTCCTCCTGTGGGCCCGGGTCCAAACGCTGAGCCCAGATACAGCTTCTGCCCTCCTGTTGCTCCGACCATAAATGCAGCACCTGGTGGCGATGACTTACCAAAGTCTCTCATCCCGACTTTGACACCAGCTCTGCACTCTCTCCTTTGTCAACACCTCTGGGCTAATTTTAACTTCTCTTGTCTCCAATGCAAATTTTAACATTTTCCGCCTCAGCCTTGCGCCACAGTCGGCTTCCTGTGTATTGATTTCCAAACCTTTTCAGCACCATTGCACACTTGGGGAAAAACAGCAGAATGAACTATTTAAAGCTCCAAAACTTGAAAAAAAAACCTCTTACGCGTACATTCTTCTGCAACAAACAGGCCTTAAAAAAATACTTGAATGGGATGGCGACTTTTTCAAGCACTTGTACAGTTTGGGCTGCAGTTTGTTTTCATTGTCTGTTAAGTCGTTGTTTGTCGTCTCCACCTGTTTAATACAAGGAGTTCAGTTTGACTGTCATAAGGAGTGTTTCTTGGTCTGTGAAAAGTTGTAAAAGTTTGGAGGAGCTTTTCAAAATTTGACAAAAGCAGGCGTTCAGGAGGTGCAGGGGTCTTGTTTCAAATGCTGTTGAGGGGAATTCTGGGAAATGTAGGAACCAGCATGTTTGCAGTTTGATGCTCTAACACCTCGTCTCCACGTTGCTCTGTGTGGTTTGCAGTTCAGCCCAAATCGATTCTTTCATGTTTGCAAAACTCCCCCTTCTGTTTTTTTCTGGTCCGAAATTTGTGTTTCATACGTTGGAAATGTTTTACTTTTGTGGTGAATTTCAGTGAGACCACCGGTATCTTGCACAAACTCTTCAGGTCATATCTCCGCTTGTTAAGAGCGCTAGCCACTCACATTTTGCGGATATACTTCTTACATATTTGGTACCATTTTGTGCATAGATTAGCAAAATTGGTCGCTTAGCTTTATAATAAATGAATTCGGTTGTTCACTTTGGGAACAGAAAAAATGGCAACACAAGCACGACAATGTTCTTTAGACGGCTTGTGCTTTATTCATCACAATGAAATCCATCCATCCATCATCTCTACACCTTAATCCTCACTAGGGTCATGGGGGGCTGGAGTCTATCCCAGCTGACTCAGGGTGAAGGCAGGTTCACCNTGGACTGTGGGAGGAAGCCGGAGAACCCGGAGAGAACCCACGCTGCACGGGGAGAACATGGAGACTCCACACAGAAAGATCCCGGTGTCCTCACCGGGACACGAACCAGCGACCTTCTAGCTGCGAGGCAACAGTGCTACCAACTGCAGCCCTCACCTTCAACTTGCAGAGCAGATTTTCTTTCTTATTTCTGATTGCACTGTTTTGGGGGTTCTGCAGTTCATTTTCATCGGTTTTTCTTTGTTCTGGTTAAAAAAATGGAAATTCTTATTCCCAATTTTTAGCATTTTGAGGCCATTTTAAACCTGAAACATGCACAGGGTTCACATCCTGGTGGGGACACTGGGATCTTTCTGGGTGGAGTTTCCTGTCCAGGTGAACCTGATAGACTCCAGCCCCACACGACCCTAATGAGGATTAAGGTGTAGAGATGATGGATGGATGGATTTGTGAGCACCTCTAAACGTGGTCACACTCTCATTCCCAACACACGCTTTTCATTGTCTTGGTTAACATTTTTGAAATTATTACCAATTTTCTATCATTTTGAGGCCATTTTAAACCTGAAACATGCACAGAAAGAGAACAGTTTGTGTGTTTTTGGATGAGTTTGTGGTCAGAAAACCAGAGGGAAACCTTTCAACTTGCAGAGCAGATTTTCTTTCTTATTTCTGATTGCACTGCAGGTCGTTTTCATCGTTTTTTCCTTGTCCTGGTTAAACAATTGAACTTTTTACTCCCAATTTTTTATCATTTTGAGGCCATTTTAAACCTGAAACATGCACAGGAGGACAGCAGCTTTTTCTTAAAGTGTGTTTTGGGGATGAGCTGATGTGGAGAAAGCCTTTAAACTTGCAGGACGAGACAGAATTTGGTTTCTTATTTGTGGTCGCGCTGTTTTGCGAGCACCTCCAAACGTGGTCACACTCTGATCCCAACATGGGCTTTTCCTCGTCCGTGATTATCCAAGTTAGGACATGTTGGCAATGCGGCGCTGCGGCCTTTTTTTTATTTTTTTATTTTTCTGTTTCTTGTGAGTCCCCAACTTTTAAGGAAGTGTAGTACTAAATCTACAAACTGCCAGCAAGCTGTGCTCCAATCTGTAATTTGCTGCAGTTGCTGTAGCAAAACATCCCTCCAGCCACAGTCCCTTGATGCTCCGCCAGGCTCTTCCTACCTTTCCTGTCCCGGTCAACGAGCTCCATCCTTCGGGCCCGGAGCTGCTGGACTCCCAGAGCCCGGCTCACCTCCAGCGCCAGTCCTTGTCACTCTCCACAGGCGTCTATTTTTAGCCGGCTGCTGCCTGTGCCGGCGTGGCTCCACTGTTTGCCTAGTGTGTGGTGTTGTGACAAGGGCCCGCATGGGAGCCGTAATGATACAGTGTCTGTGTCTGCCTCCCGGTGCTCAGATAGAGATTGTTTAAACAGTATCCTGAGCCGGGGACGGGTCCCATGACAACTCCATAAATATTTACCGGCAGCAGCCACGCCGCTCCGCTTGAGGGGAGCTCGTCTGCAGGCTACCTCTGCAATGTTTTTCTTCTGCCCCCTCCCCCTTTTTTTTTTTTTTCCATTGTTGTCTCTCGCAACTGTGTTGTTTTGATGATTTCTTTTGGATGTTGTTGATGCCTTTTTTTTTCTTTTGCAGAGACAAGTGTTTTTACTAGCAGCTGCTTTCGTCTTTACACGTCATCCTCCGACTGGAATGTCAGGATGTCCTGTATGGTAGCGCTTCATACACATGCTGCCCGCGGTGGTAAACACATTAAAGCACGCCGGAGCCTCTCACATCAGCTGAACTGTAAAAATTGGGGGAAAAAAAGAAGAAAGAGCCGTTTGATTTTTTAGAAAAATGTCATTTACAAAAGGCTCAGTGTTTGCTTTTGGCCGCCGTGCACAGGAATGCTAGTTATAAGATGTTTTTGAGAGATGTTAAGTAAACTTTAAGGTAAAATAAATAACAAAATCAGCCTCCTACCACCTTAGAAATAATCAGAGACTTCACGTCAAAACATGTTTCAGAGAAATTCAGAGCATGTGGACTCGTCACAGGTCACAGTTCAGGTTGAACGCCCAACAACAAAAAAAGCAAAGCTCAGATCGCCGGTTTCTCACTGAATCGGCGTAAAAATCCTCTTTATTGCCCATAAATCACTGGATAATTATAAGATCATCTGACCCCTCCAGTTGTCTGATTCACGACTTTTGGCTGTTTGGCTGCAGTGGAAGTCAAACGAAGTTGCTTTTAGCTTCGACAACAAACTGCAGCTTCGAGCTCAACGCTAACGGTGGTGTTTAGATGATTCCCCTTCAATCAGGTGTATTCGTTAGTTAGTTTGATTTTGTTGTTTTTAGCATTTCTGCCTGCGTTGTCTCTGTAGAAGCACTTTAAGTTGACTTGAAAAGTTCCTAAAAGTTTTTAATCCTCAAATCTGTTATCACACTTCACATGAAAGTACACACACTGGAATCGCTAATATGTCAGCGCTATCAAGATGTTTGAGCAATACGACTTTTATATTTATTTATTGCACCGTTTTTTTTACCCGATGTCTTTCACAAGTGCTGTTTTTTATACTTTCCTTTAAGCACATGTTGGAAACTACGTGAGTGTGTTTTCGACTTTCTCACCTCCTGTCCTCGAACGCATCACAAGTGACGTACGACTCCGTCAGGGGAAAAATCCGGCCTCGAAATTGTGGTATTTCGTCAAAATCACATTTTTCTGCATGCCTCGTTTAAACATGAGCCCAAAATAAACTGTTTGCGTCAGATCCTGTAACAAAAAAAAAAACAAAACTGAGATTTAAAGCGGAATAAAACAAACTTGATCAATAGAATAAACACTGCTCGGTTAAAAAATAGCACACGGAGGAGCGAGTTGTTGGACGATACATTCAGTACGGTGAAACGTAGTTTGTGTACGTTGAATACGTAGCAGAATATCTACAGCGTTCAGTCAGTTTCCACTTTATTGGAAACATCTGTGGGTGCTGGGAAAAAAAAAGGTCGAGCATGTTGATTCCAGGGCTGCAAGGTGGCTCAGTGGTTAGCATCTAGAAGGTCGCCGGTTTGCGTCCCGGTGAGGACACCCGGGATCTTTCTGCGTGGAGTCTCCATGTTCTCCCCGTGCAGCGTGGGTTCTCTCC